ATATCTCAGCTTTGTTATTTGTCACTCTGCGTTTGCAGAAATGTTTCACTGATATTCACGAGTCTTTGACCAAGTAGCCAAATCCTGACAGAGTGGTGTCTCTCTCAAGTACACTGTGACAGCCATGCTGGTTGTGAATGCCAATGGAAAAAATAACCAGCTCTGACATCAGTGAAGCAGCCCCAGGCCCTGACAGTGTACAGTGCAGGCCTCACATACGCAGTATGTCACATTTGACTCATTGGATGAAAGACCAACACTCATCACAAGTCCACTTTCTGTGTTTTATGACTCAGGCGATGGGTTTAGCCTTTTGTATTTATCCAAAGAACCAAAGAAGGGCTCATGGTCATGTCTGTGTATGGACTAATCCAAGTTGTACGCAGAAGTAAACAAGCTGCCATGACTGTCACTTCCAAGCCTATGCAAAAATGTAATATATGTGAAGGATGAAACTATTCTGGGCAACTATTGCCAAAAAATATATCCAGCATAGCCTGAAGAAGCTGTTACATTTAAAAATAGACTCAAACAATAGTTAGAATGTAACCTAGACATGTAAAACAATTTTCATGCTTCTCCCTGTTTCCTGGTGGCAAATAATTTTATATTTAAAGGTTATATAGCAGGAAAGCACAACCACTAGATGTCGCACTAGAGTGCCAGCATCTCAGACCAAAACAAAAAGGACTACAACTGACCAGACCACACTGAACAGTAATTTTACTTAGCAGATAATCATAAATTCAAACTGGCCAGAAACTAAATAAAACTCACCAAAAACGACTCTGTTAGTCTTTCCAACAATTAACAACACTGGTTAGGTTGAAATATGCCCTTATTTCACAGGCCTACATGTGAAAATAGCTGAAAAATGCCAATGGCTGCCATCTAACTTTTAAACTGCTAATCCTTGAGGACAAACTATGTCCATTAAAAGTTGTTATTTTGGCCACTGACAGGCTCAGATTGTTTCTGACAACATTATGGAAAGGATCCTTACAGAGACAGACCTTTTGATTAACCAGCTGTAATATCGCTATCACCACCACATAGACAAAAATGCTAATTTTACCTCATAACATCAGTAGTGTTTCTACTGTTCCAACAAACACCAACTCTGCTTTGGTCAGAATAAACAGAGAGCACAAAGATAGCTAATAGTTGTCTGCTGCTATATTAATGTTTTGAATCTCATGTGAGGTTGAGTGATTGATTTGAGAGCCGTTTTAAGATTTTTGAGCACATTTTGGTGATAATCGGGATAATATTGTGAATCTCAATAATTTTGGCCATGACAATCGTACATGAAATGTTAATATTGTCCCATGCCTAGTGCTGACCAGTCAATCCAACTACTGTCAGTGAACCTATATGAACGTTTGGCTGCTGGGGAGACTGCGGGACATTTGAAACATGGTCACCTATTGTGCCCACAGCTTGTCAGCCGGCTCCTGCTTTTTGCGGGTTTGACCGCCCTCTCTTCTCTTTACACAGGCAGTTTTTATTTTTTTAAAAAGGGGCGTATGAAATTGTTCATTCAGCCTTTTGGAACTGTACAAAGCCCCATTCGGCCTGGATTTATTTAGATGTGATTTTAACATCAACATGCCCTAGTGATTTAAATCCCGTCTGGATAATTATTTACCCCCACTGTAATGATTAAAGCTGAAATTGCTGTTTTTCTGTGAACTTGCCGGCCCTTCCGGAGTGATGTCTCCAGAGAGAAAGTGGATCTGTGCTTGTTCTACTGCTTTTTTTTTTCCTTCTATTTATCAGCTCAGTATGAAATCTTTACCTTCCAGAAGGAAGTAATACTTCTATGTACTTTTCTAATGCAGGACGTGGCTGTTGATCAGAGAGTGAAGGCTCTTTGAATATACACCGATCAGCCCCATACCAACAAACTGTGATGCACTGTGTGTTCTGACACCTTTCTATCAGAACCAGCATTAACTGTTTCAG